GCGACATCCCGGATTTGGTAATGAAATATAGCTCATTTCGATCGAGAAAAAATTCTGAACCAGACGGCGTTTTCCAGAGTTACTTAATCGCCGAGACTTTCGAGAAAATTGAATTTAAAATGATAAAACCTGGACTTATTTCCCGTCCGGTCCGCCATTTCTGCTTTCTTGGGGGAGGGCCTTATGGCCTTTCTCAGAAACACATTCGTGTATCCCGATATTCCCGCACGTTTTCTAAAAAAACAGGTGTGGCTTTTTAGCTACGAATCTCGTAGATTAGCATGCAGACCTCGCCTAAAGATGTCGTTTTCAAGGTTTTTTCGGGAGTAAAATTCGCGGATAAAACGATATAACTTGCAGAAACATGACCCTCCTTGTTTTCTCTGCTTTCGTGAGCTTTCGATAGAGCTAAATTGTCAAAATCGGGCACTACACACACGCGCACCGTTAGAGAAGGGTAATTTTTGGTACATTCAAAGCACTTACTCGAGGCCGTCCGTTCCTTCGACGATCTTGTTTCGGCACGGTGAAGCCGACGTATCCCGCGAGCACGGCATGTGCCTCCCATGCCAAAGCCACCCAGCGCCATCCGCCCGTTTTGCAAAATAGTAAATAAAAAAAAAAATGTCAAAAATTTGAGGGTTCGAGAGACGTGCTGGACTCCTCGCGCGCCTTTCCGAGGCCTTCTATAGATACCTAGATCATGTTAAAAGACAGACACGACCGCGGCCCTCTGGGGAAGTGTTTTTTGGAATACCCTGTATAGCCTACGAAAGCGGGTTCTGCGCGGCATTTACCTTGTTGTTGTGGGCTATAGATGACCGCAACTTGCCATCATAATGAGCTGCCGAGCTTGGTTCGCGTCGCGACGCTTCCTATCGTCTGTTCCTGCCACTTGGCGAGCGATTCGTGGATCTCCGTGGGCACCCAGACCGGGCCGGCGTGGTATCATCGCAAAATCGGCGATGCAGTCCGCGATCACTAAAATCGTCACTTTATTTTATTGTTTATATACAGGCCCGTAGCGGGAGGAATTTCGGGGCGGGGGTGGGGGCAAAAATTGATGACCTCCCCTATTTTTTTACGAAATAGGCTAAAGAGCAGCGACAAAAACTTCATCTCAAAAAGTTGCGGCAAAATCCAACTTCGGAGGCGCATTTTTCGAAATTTAGCAACAACGCCGCAGGTTACCTGCATGTTTTGGAAAAACTGAGGTCAAGAGCACGATAAATAGTCGTTAAAATATTTGGGACAAGTCTGTGGCAAAATGTGGGCTAGACGTCGTCCCATCCGATTCGTGAGGATGGCAATGTCCGGTATCCATCCGGAGGCCAGAAAAAAATGGACAAATCGCCCCGCGCCGCCGCCCTGTTGCCACGTGTGACAGTTACATCTTGCAGCAGTTGAGAAGGGTGCCATCGGTTGAACTAGGCCTCGACAGACCTTGCCCATGGCGATTCAAACCGCTCTTTCTGGGCCGGGAGCTTTTAGATACGATCTTTATGTCCTATCCTATCACCGAAATCCTTTCCTATAAGCGAGAAAAATGAAAGTCTTTTTCTGTAATGTTGATTTTCCGTCGGAGCCGAATTTCGTCAAATTTTTGGCACCGTGGTGGAGAGAAACATATTCACTTAAAAACCGGTTTTTTTGTTTCCCCAATTCCTCCATTTAACAATTTTACAAGCAAAAAGTAAAAATCCTTAAAAAAATGGGCGGCGAGCCGTGGTGTTCAGGCCACCCAACTCAATACCCATTTGGAATTTCGGACTGGGTACGACCCAACTTTTTTGTATCCGATAGTGGGGATCACGCACGCATCTGGTTATCCATTGAAGCAGATTCATGCTAAAAATTGGAATTTTGTAAGGTGGCCAGAGACCTCGGAACATTATTCAGATCATGATTTGTTGTTGCTGCTGCCTGGGACAGCCCCCGCCCTTCGCCCTCCACCCCCACCCACACCCACCCCAGGACAGAAAACGCCTTTCCACTTGCATCTTCCCATCTCCGCTGTGGTGTAGTGTACTGGGGCTCTGTCGATCGCACTGGCCGTAAAGTGTTTTAACATAGGATGGAAATTCCATTCGGGATCAAACCTATCTTCTGCAGTATTTTTCACTGAATGCGAATCTGGTTTTCAAATCTGCTGAAGAGCCCGTAATACAAAGTCACAGCTATTTTTCTTAGAAACTGGGCAAAAATAGTGAATTTTAAATCTACCTAACAATCATGGAGGTGCTTTCTGGATTCCCACAGAACATATCTTGGGGTAGAAAAATTATGCTCTTTCGGAAGATAGGCTCGGTCCCGAATAGAATTTCCATCCTATGTGGGAACGCTTTACAGTGAGGGCCGGGGGTTTGGATCCTCGACAAATTCCGCTTTTTTGCTTTCTGGTGGGTTCAGCAACGGCGAGGGGCGCAACCTGGGCGCTCCGTGTGCAGAGATTGAGGTCTGGCCCTCGCTACAGCGCCGCAGATAAAGGCAAGGACCTTGACTTGCTCTTTGGCGCTACAGGCCCAATCCTGGTGAAAAATCAGTAGCTAGAGCCACCAGACTCCAAGATTCTAGCACAACCCTGGCTCTGGCGAGCGCGAGCCGAAAGAAATGGCTCGCCAGCGCGGGTCCTTGCGCCGCGGGCTTCAAAAAGAAAAAGCGAATTCATTGTTCCTAGACGGGGTCTAGCGGCAAAGGCCGCGAAGCGATCTTTTTCCACTGCTCCGATTATATATGTAAAAAAATAGTTTTGGTGTGTACGGGTGTGCTACTTCGCATGCAACTTCTGTTCATCTGTCCGTCGCGTCAAGAATTGAACTCGAAGGGAAATGGGCTATAGCTTAGGTCTGTTCGGATGCGGATAGAGCGTTCATTTCAAAATGTAACCCCAAAAACACTTTTCTTAATTTTTTTTATCCAGTTTGGGGGTTTTCTTACCGCGCGCTATCCGAATCCGAAGAGACCCGCGCTCGAGCTCCTTCCCCTTCGTACTGCATCCGGGGACAAGACGGACAGACAGACAGACAGCCACCGCAATCTTTTTATTATAGTTGATGATACAATTAAATTTAACTTTGAGAGTGGCACATTAGTAAAACGAGTGGGGAACGGACTTTGCTTTGAGCTTGGACATAATCAGGCCAGGCCGTGCGCATTTTCCTGGTTTTTTCGACTTTTTAGTAGTTTTTAAGCTTTTGACACAAAGGAGCGTATTTTTGGGTATCAGGGAGTCTAACTAGTAAGTTGTTTATGAAGGGTTTCCGGTTTTGCGAGGTATCAGAAGCCATCAGCGTGTGCAAGGATCGAGTTAAGGCAAAAACTGGTGGCATAGGATATGAAAGGTGGCCCGAAGGCCAGATGATTGCAGTGGCGAAACGACGCGTAATCACCTGATACTAACGAAGATATTACGTTCGTGACGTTACGGGATTTGGTTTAGCCCAAAAAGAGCCAATTGACAAGGCATTTTGACAAAATTGCCAAAACAAACAAACACTTCAACCCTGGTATTTTTCTCAAAATTTATGGATCGGGCTATACCTTTACTTCCCTCGGCTACCCAGGAAAAAAATCGACTCACGGCTTGTGGCTCGGCTTTTGGGTGTGCGCATGCAATCCGGTGCCTGAGCCCATCAGGCCTCCCGGACTACGACTTCCTCAGAGTGGAGCTCCTCCACCGCCTCTTGTCGGGGGCTGCCCCGGCACAAGATGATGTTCAGGTACTGAAATTCTGCAAATTCACTTTTGCCATCCCAGGCCTCCGGTCCTCCTGTAATCCAATTAACATAGAAAAGTGTTCACTTCCGAACTCCGGAAAAGATGCAAATTAGCGGGATCGTGCTCGGGGCCGGCCTAACTTGATCCAGGGACCGTCGCCTACCGGGAGACTTTTGCAGCGACAAAGTGCGCGGCCCGTGCGCAAGCCGGTACCGGCCCGTGCTATAGCCACGATACGGGCGAGCCCGTGAGGGAGCAGTGGACTAGCCGTGGAGTAGCCGTGCACGGGCCGTGCACCAGCCGCGGTAGGCGCGCGCCCGTGCACTGGCCGCGGAGTTGGCGCGCAGTGCCCGACGGGCCGCGGAAGACTGCGCAGGCCGGGCGGCCGCCGCGCATGGGCCGATACCGGGCCATGCGCGGCTAGTGCACAGCCCGCGCTGTACATGTCGCGGCTAAAGTCTCCTGTGTATTCGGCTCGGCCCCGAAAACAAAAATTTCGATTTTGCGTCCAAACTCGGGTGTTCATGTGCAAATTTTCAGTGAAAATGTCGAGTGCTTTGATTGTGAATTTCCTAACGATTTTCTTGATAATCTTTACAGAGCAACCACTCACCCTGTCTACCAGAGCAGCATTGATCAGGCGGTGAAGACCGCATCGAGCCCAATGCAAAGTTCAACAACATCCGATACATCGGAGTGTCTAACTTCTTCAGCGTGGTCTGCATCGTCAGCCACATATACAATGGTGGCAGACTGCTCCACAGCGCCGCTGAAAAGGTGGACGACGTATGCAACGCGGCATGCAAATTATACGTCAGATTTACAGGGTTCCCAATAAAAAAACACCCCCCTCTAACTCGACGCAGAAGTATCGGATCGGAATGGTAGTTGCACCATTCGAAAGCCTTTGAAACGACGAGTTTACAACAATTTTCAAAACCATTTTTTATTAATACTAGATGTTTTACAAGCCATTTTTCACGGTTGTATACGAGCTACTTTCCCTCAATTTCTCCATACAAAATGACCGGAAGTAGCCGTTAATTAGATGCAGAGACCGGTCCTTAATTTTTTAAATGCGTTGTAAAAGGGCGCATTTAAATAAAAACATGGTTTTGAAAATAATCGCAAACTCGCCGTTTGAACGGCTTTCGAATGTGTGTAATATCTATCCGATCTGATCGACTGCTGCGTCGAGTTGAACGAGGTGTTTTTATTCGACACCCTGGACACGTCAGTTTTTCAGCGAAAATGGTAGATGAATTTACATGCGTCCGAAATTCGAAGCCATGTGGGCTAAGCCAGGGGCATGAACGTTAGTTGTAATACGTTTTTAAGCAGTTTTGAGCCAGGAAGGTATTTGGGTATTTCCAACACTGCAAGATCAATCCCGATGTTTAGAAGAATGAGGATTTGGAGCCGGAAATTAATGTTAATTTGTTGCAAAAGACCAAAAAGATCCAAAAAATTAGGCGAAAGGGTTGAACAGCGAGTTATTTTTGCAATAACTCCGAAAACTGCTGTACCGATCCGACTGGAAAGTTTCTGAAAACATTTTAAATCTTCTTCCGTTGTTCTGTTAAAAGTTTCAAGCCGATCGGACTTGAGATGGCAAATGCAGGCGTGCCCTTTTTTTTGGGACACCCTGTGTACCCTAAAATCCGAGTAAGTCCCCCTCCCCCGAATATATTAGGTCGGACCGAAAGTAACTGCAGTCCAGCAGTGAATTTTCCACCATGACTGACAAGCTGTAAGCTGTTTGGTAGCACAAAACGGCTTCATTCCGATGCACCGTTAAAATGCTATGGGTCCAAATGTCTGGCTGAGAGCAGCGTGCCGCACAGCCTAGAAATGGGATCAAAATGACAACTTCAAAAGCTCATTTCTGAAAAAAATCTCGTGGGCTGCCACAAAAGGCAAATGAATTCTGATTCCCCAACCCCGACTCTACAACTTCGCTGAATTTGGTGATCCCTCTACGTCCTTTAGGGCCGAAAAATAAGGTCCAGGAACTTTTGCCGCACCCTGTACACTTAGCCATCGCTTGGCAAATTTTCAAGTTTATCGTATGACGAGCTGGTGGCGATGATAGCGAATGGCGCCACGGTTTTTGGAGCGCCCTTTAAGTAAAAGGATCTGGATTCAGAAAAATTTCTATTGTCGACTCGGTGAAACAATTCGGCGGAAAGCACAACCCATACCGATGCCATTCACGAACGGCATGGTGAATCGGACGTGCAGGCCATCCCCGATTCGCTCGCGGGTTGCCGGTTGGCAGGCGGCGGAACAACCAAACGCCATGGATCACAAGAGCGATCAGGCCGGCCGACGGGCACATGCAGGACGCGTAGTAGCCCAGAATCTTGTCGTAATCATCCGGTTTGCTACCTTAAAGGACGACCGCAAGGTGCTAGTTGAAAAGTCACGAAGCGGCTTTTCCAGCCCTGCTGTTGAATAATCAAGGAAAGAACTTACTCGAGTCCATTCCGGCTTTCCGTCAGGTTTATCAGCGCGCTCAAGCCGATGTACACGACCAGCAACACGTGTCCACCCCATGGCGTCGTGGCCATGATCCAGAGCAGCCTTACGGGTTTCGAGCCACTACCAAACAAGCTGGTTACACAAATTTATTGAAAACGAGCTTCACTTATTATCTCAATGACTTATTGTGACAAACGTAAAATACGGGCTGGGAGGGAGCACTCATTATTATCAAATTTGCAAATTACTGTGGGGAATTTGCGAGTGCCCGTTCGATAGAGCGTCGAAAAATATCCTACGAGAATTAGTTTCAGCCCGAAATAATGTAATGGCAATTTTTGTAGGACAACAGGAAAAGTTAAATTTACGCAATTTTCAAAATTTTTCGTATTTTGAACACGCCATTCGATTGAGCGTCAAAAAATAGACCTAGAGAATTAATTTCAGCCCAAAGAATAAAAATTCTCTACCGAATAACCAAAAATACATCAAAAAAACAAAATTAAAGGATTACTGGGGAGAAGCCAAATTTTTGATATTTTATATATTTTGAAAACGCCAATCACTAGAACGTCAAAAAAATTTTCGATCGACTGGATAGTACACAACTGTACTATGGAAGCTGGTTACGACAGCAACTTGTGCGTTCTTGAATGGGAAGTGGGAAAATTATGATTTTTTTTCTTTGGTCATGAATGGCTCTAAATTGTTGAAACGTAATGGCAAAAAATGTTAGGAGTTTTCGAGGTCTATTTCTTTTTACAAAACCGGACACTTTTTGCTATTTTGCTGCTATTTTCGTTCGCGGACTCATAATTGGCTTCTAACCAACTGCCCGCAGCTGTTTTTCGTGCACTGACTTATCGAAATGGCGCGATGTTGAGCTGCGAGCTTGAAACGGGTACGAAATAGCAACCCATAAGACCCCTTTGGAGGCAATCGCTTGCAGGGAATGGAAATGTGCCTTTGAAACCGGCAACCGTGATGACGAATCGAGGTTCCAAACCAGCGCGTTCCAATGGTTTGACAAAGACTAAATTCAACTTAGTTTGCTGGGTGAAAGATCCCATTTTCAAGGCTTCTTTGGGCGAAATGTCGTGTGTGTCAGAACTCAGGAATCTACATGTTTAAAATGTTCAGGTACATGTTTAAAAAAATTAACCTAGGACCCCTATCTGGCCTGCAGTCTTGTCCGATTTTTACGATTTAGGTATCGATCGAAAGCTCTCGAAAAGTCGAGTCGAGCACATCATTCCGATTTTCGGGATCTCAGATATTTTTGCTAGGTCTTCAGCGCTTGTCATGCAAAAGGGCACGCCTTTTGCCAAAAACCAGAGTGAGACGGTTTAAGCGCCATCAAGGCCCGTGTTTTTGTTGATGGCTTTGGCAAGGCTGTCTTTCTAAACCCAGGAAACCCACCTGTTTTGCAAAAATGTTAGAAAATCCCTTTTTAATTAATTTAACTTTAGCTCATTGCAGGTCATAAGCTATTCTCAAGATTTTTGCCTCTGTTATACATTGCCGACATCATTGTTTTAATCCTGCTATATATTGGGTTGTACAAAAAGTCCTGACAGTTTTGGGCTTGGATTGACTTTAACATATACAATTGTATATGTTGGAAATTATAAAATACATAATTTTGAGCTGCCATAAAAACTTCTAGTATATTTTTTGATGCTATATTGAATGAGGCAAGTATCAAAATCCCGACCAAATAGCGAAAATATCGAAAACTTTTGGGACGTGGGGGGTTAAAGTAAACCGTAGGCCAAAAATCTATGACATTGAATCCCTACCCCCCGCTAACGAACCAGCCCGGGTTTGCGCTGACTAAACGCAAGAAATCGATCGAACGGAGAAATTGGTTAAATTCAAGTGGTTTTACCCTGAAACTTCAGGAATTGTGCCTCTCGAAAAATACATGGGCCCGTTGGCGAATTTTCGACAAAGTCCCTGTATGGATTTGTATGGAATGCGTTTATGAAAGTTAGTTAGTTACAAAGTCATGTGACATACCTGGATGCCCCAGCTGATCTTCACCGATTTGGCCACCGCCATTAAAAATTTCCACCATTTCGTCTGCGTGGCCAGGCAGACGACGGCGAGCTGCCGAATTTGCCAGTTCCCCCGAGCCCATTCGCCGGGCATGATGGTGGAGAAAAAGCGGGCATCAGCACCCCGGGCGAATGATAGCATCTACGATACTGCAAAGTAGAGATTAGGAGTAAGGGAGCATTGAGCCTCCTCTGGCGAATTTTGGATTTCCGGACCTGCCGACACCTGGCGGACGCCTGAGGGATTGGGCAGCCCTTGTTTTCATGCGTAAAACATGTTAAATTTGGTTATTGCAACTTCTGGGGCATTAAATTGGTTTTCAATAACAATTCATTTAGTTATTGCACCTATTTTTTTCAAGCAGAATGACCACTGTAGTAGTTAATTAGATGCGGAGGCAGTTCCTTGATATTTTTCAGTACGTTGCAAAATGGCGCGTTGGAATGCAAACATAGTTCTAGAAATTGTTGTCGACTTGCCGTTACAAGGGCTTTCGGATGGTGTAACTATCAATCCCATCCGATCCGGCTTTTTCGTCGCGTTTGAGGTTTTGTTTTATTGGGACACCCTGTAAAGGGTGGGGCAAAACTTCCTGGACTTTTTTGTTTTTCGGTCATAAAAGCACGTAGAGCGATCGTGAGAACGCCAAATTCAGCTAGGTTGTAGACAGCGGGATGGTGACAGCGAGATAGCAAGACCACCGGAGTTTGCTCTCACTCGCTAAACTTGCATACTGCGTTTGTGAAAAGCGGTAAATATACAGGATGGGGCAAAAGTTCCTGGACTTTTTGTTTTCAGGTCATAAAAGAACAGAAAAATCCCAGGACCGGCAAACTCGGGGAAATTGTAGAACAAAGGTATGGGAATCCAGAAATTCATGCGTAATTTAGCCACAGCACTCGTGGTTTTTAAAATAAGCTTCAGAAGTGATCATTTTAGGCCCGTTTTCAGGGCGCGCGACGCGCTGCTCTTTGTCCAGACAGAGGGGTCCATAGAGTTTGGACGTGTGCATTGGGATGAAGCGCTGTTTTGCTGCTAAATGGTTTAAGGCTTGCCCGTCATGGTGGCCCGTCGAGATTGCTTCGACAATTGAAGCCTAGCGAGTTCTAGCCATTTGAAAATTGCACGTAAATGACGTTCGGCTGGTGGAGGGGTAAAATAGGTGGTTGCCAAAATGTTAAATACCAAAACTTAGGAGTGTAATGAAAGATTGAAAGGATTGAAAGGAGTAAGTTTTGGAATCAGTAAAAAAGACTGCACAAAATAGGATAGGCAGGACATTTTATGGCCAATATCTACCTATCTGATAGAACATTGATTTCTATTCGAATAGTAGACCCAGTGCGCCCCAAAAGCTAGAGCCCACTCAGTTTTTGGCTCTATCCCCGCGCTGCCGTACTTTTTCATGGTGAGCCGACAGATCTCGTAGCGCTTGGAAAGAAATTTCCTATGATGGTTATCAAGGTTTTTACGACGATGTAAGCCAAAAATAGGGCCAGAACACCAGTATGAAAAGATAGAGCAACAATTTGCGCTCACTTTTGAGGTGCGCTTCGGGCATAAGTTCAAAAAATTGGCGGTGAAAGTTATCGTAAAAAATTGCGCAAACTTTTGCAATCGGGGTATTTAGGAGCGCTTGAAAACAACTTAAAATCAGCGCAAAACTCTGCTGGGGAAGCTATAGGGCTCAAAGCGTCTCTTTGTTAGGCAACTTACATATGCTCAAGACAATTGTTTTGTGGCCGGGGTTCAGGGCCGCGTCCCGCCAGACGATGACAATCATCAAGACGGCGACGAAAAACGTCGCCAGGTCGAGATACGTGGTCACCTCGACCGCGTAGTAGAGGAACTCGACGAAAGCGGACATGCTTGTTCTGAAAACTCCGCAACTTTCGCTACTGTACTTTTCACAGAAAAATAAAACTATTTTTAAGCACAGAAACTTTCACGTTGGTTTGAACAATTTTAATCTCTTGTCTTGTTTAATCTCTCTAATCTTTGCTGCTCTCTGCCATTCGATTCCCCCACCTTTGTCCCGCTGTGAACCTTATTAAAGGGACATTCCGTTCTCATTCATAATTTCAAAAGACCTTGGAAATGGTCGACACTTTAACATGCAAGGTTACGATAGATGCTGAACGTTCGGCAAAAGCGAACCCGGGCCAACCCCTCTGGGACCAGCGCCATAGACCGCTCGGCCATGGAAGAGACGGGACAGGGAAGAGGGCGAGGGGGATATGAGGGATATGTGGCGGCCAGCGCCAACTAGGCAGCCAATTCGGACGCCAACTATGGTTTCAGAATCAGAGCGGAACCGATTTCAGATTTTCTGTTATCCTACTATATATAAAAAGCGTGGGCGTGACACTTTTGCAGGCAACTTCCGTCACCATGTCCGGAGGATATCTCAAGAGGGCGGAGTTTTACGGTATGGATGATATGCCACTGGTGCGTAATGGCGTTTTGATGATCGGTTTTCGGCAATTATGGAAGGTTAATAACTTCATATATCCTGGCCAGACTTGAAGAAGCCGCGAACCGGTCTTTCAATCCTGGTATGTCACTAGGTGCGTAATGGTTCTGGCATATCTGCACGCCTATCAGATTACGGAACATGTTATTTTTGACATTAAAATTAAATTTTTGTAGTAAGCTCAGGTAGTCACTTTGTTGGGAAACGACTAGCATGCTCGGGAAGTGGATATAGCCTACATAATGGCCGAGCGGCATCGTTTTTCATGATATTTCATGGTTGGGCGAATTATGCAAACTGGAGAGTTTCAGGGGCTTGCACGGGGCCAGGGTTAAGAAGTCAAGCGGTTTTCGGTGGTTTCACGGAAGATGTCGGGATATCTTTCCCGGCCCGCGTTTGTCCAGGCATGAATCAGTCCAGGTACCTAATTTTTTTTTGCGAAATTTTGTTTTTCCCCGACTGTCGGGCCGAACCACTGAAAAGTAACGCAAAAGTCGGATATATTACAGTACGACGTTCCCACCCACAACTTCGAAAAATCCAAAGTAACGGTACGCG